GCTCCAGTAGGTTTTGAGATGGCATTCACCATCTTTGTAGAAAGATGAGCATCACTAATGAATTACCAAGTATGTCTTTAAAAAGGGGAATAGAGACAGAACTTAATGAACTGAAATTACTATCAAAATGAAAAATCCCAGCAATATTTACGTAACCACAAGCCTTACTTACATCAGGATTGTCCAACAAAAATATCCTGTCAGCCATTCATGATCTGAGTTCTGGTGTAGGAGATCAATTAAAGTGTGGTACACTTAGGCGCTGGCAGGTGGCGTGGTTAAGGGCACTGGACTCCCTCACAGCTGACCGTGGTGGTTCGAGTCCCAGATCTGGCGGCTTGCTTTCTCTCTCTCTCTCTTTGTGTCTCTCTCTAGTCAAATTAAAATTAGTGAATGAATAAATAAAATTAAATAATTCTAAAAAAATATGGTACACATAAAAGAGGTGAGACATTTCTGTTCTGTCGTAAATAAGGCAGTGGCCACCTATTACTCATGAGTAGCTTATTTAAGATAACCTATTAGCTCTGCTCTTTCTGACTTTTTTTTTTTTTTGGTGGCTCGAGGGTCTTTACTAGTGATGCTTTGAGTCTCAATGTGCCAGGACCGGGGGTGGGAGCTACTTCCGGTGCCTCCCGCCTGGTCTCCCTGGCTAGCTGTTTCAGAGGGGAGGCGAGGCTGGTGGGGGCAGCAAGCTGAGTGCCTACACACACACACACCCCGCATCCTGCTGTGGTTTCTGACTTCTTTTTACTGCCAGCGAAGATCATTTTTTTCCCCCAGGGATGTCCTTCTTGGGATTCTCCAAATCCTCCATCAATGCATCCTCTCCCAGGTGATGCCTTTGTTCTCGTTGGCATCTGTGTAAGAGAATCCAGGGCCCTGACCTGTCTTCCGCCCAAACAGACCATGGAGATTTGGGCCAGTCTTGTGCTTGCCTCCCTTTTCCACGGTGTGGCACTGGGTGTACTTCTAAACAAAAATCTTGCCTTTCTCAACATCACCATTTCTTTTTTTAAGGAATTATCAATGTATTTATTTAATTCCACTTGTTGTTATTATTTTTTAGTTTGACCAGAGAGAGACCGAAACAGAGAGGGAAAGAGAGAAAGCAAACTGCCAGGTCCAGGACACGAACCGGGGTCAATCATGTGGGAATCCAGTGTCCCTAACCACCATGTCACCTGCTGGTCCCAACATCACCTATTTTTAATTCTTTTGTCACTTGGAACACTAGGGTTCCCACTCAGAAGCTGGATATCCCACTTTCTCCCTGGCGTGTTTTTCAAGCCCCTGGGTCTCGTATTCAAACTGCATTGCCATCCAGGTGGGATCCAGCTCCTTAAGCTTCCTGCCATCTGCTGGCCCAAGGTAGACTAATATCTTTTTTTTTTAAGAGAGTTTTTAGTTAGTTTTTTTTTTTTTTTTTTTGCTATAGGGCGTGTGTGCTTGCTGGAGACACAGAGAGAGACAGAGAGAGAGTGAGAAATCACCCCACAGTGGAGACTGCCATGCCACAATACTGTCTCCATTCTCCTCTCGGGACTTTGGGCATGCACATGCTTCTGGCGTGAGTTTCAAGCTGTTGGGTCCGGGACTTGAACTTCTGTTGGCCATGTGGGAGTCCAGTGGTTTACCCACTACACCACCTGTTGGCCCCAAGGTGGACTAACTTTAAGGGAAATTGTTTGGTGCTAATGATTCACAGTGATTAGTTCTGTCTCAGAAAAAGTTTGTATTAGGTCAGTATGAGGGGCTTCCTAAATATTCATGCTTGTTTGTTTGTGTTTGGTTTGTCTAGTTAAATAACCTGCATTATTATGTATGGGATGGCATTAAACTTGCTGTTTACTAAACTGAACTAAACTCATTTACTTTTATTAAGTAGAAATACTCAAACCAGTTAATAGCTGAGTCATGTACTAGTTGTTTAACCTCCTTTGCCTCAGTGTCCTCATCAGCAATCATTTTATACATTTATTGTATGAATTTAATGAAGAAAGCACTAAATAAATGTTAGCACTTAGAATCTATCAACACTGAAGGTAGCCCTCAGATAACATATTATCCATGCAATTGAGTTATTACCATTGTTCTGTTCTTTTTTGTCCATTCTTTCAACAAGTATCTATTTTTCTTTTAATTGCCAGAGGGTATGTATGCTTGCCAGCGAGAGAGAAAAAACATCCCAGTGGGGCACAGTCATACCCCTCCTCCGTTTGGGCATGTACACACATGTACCCAGTGTGTCTTTTTTTTTTTTTGAGAGGTTTTTGCTATAGGGCACGTGCACTCGCCAGACAGAGAGAGACAGAGAGACAGAAAGCGAGAAATCACCCCCCATGGGGGATGGCCACGCCACAATCCCGTCTCCTCCATTCTCCTCTCAGGATCTTGGGCACGCATGCACACGCCCCTGACGTGAGTTTTAAGCCACCGGTTCCGAGACACAAACCCGGTCGACTACATGGGAGTCCAGCGACATAGCCATTACACTAACTGCTGGTCCCGACCCAGTGTGTTTTCAAGTGGCTGCAGTTGGCCATGTTGGATCTGGCTCCCCATGCGTAGAACCTAACTGTGCTACAGGGCTGGTCCAGCAGGTATCTATAAAAGGCCTGTCTATGCCTGGGTCAGGGAGGTGGACATCAGTCAGATAATCACACACAGTTAAAATTGCACTGTTCCTCAGCCCTTGAAGGAGAGGGGTATGGTGGTATATGAATGTCAGTTACGGAAATTTGTCTTAGTCATGGATGTCAGAGAAGAAACACTTTTCAGGGGACCAGCAGGTGGTGTGGTGGTTCAGGCACTGGACACTTCCACATGGCCAACCATGGTTTGAGTCCCAGACCTGGTGGCTTGCTTTCTCTCTCTGCCTCTCTCTGGTCCAATTAAAATAAGTGAATGAATAAATAAAATTAAATAAATAATTCTTTAAAAAAAACCCCACTTTTCAGAGGAAGTGCCTTGGCTGGAGCTGAAGGATGAGTTAAAGTGTCAGAGAGGGAAGGGGAGGAATAGCATGTGCAAAGGCCTATTGACAGAGGAAGCAAAGGCCAGCGTGTCTGATCTGGGCAGACTGGGGCAAGTGGTGCCAGTCTACATCTCGAGACCAGAGATGTGGTTAGAGAAGTATGAGGCTGTGTAGGCCATGCCCAGTTCTATCTTCTAAGAGTAATGAGAGGCCATTCAAGTTGTTTACTGGGTGTGGATGGGATGATCAGATTATCATTCGGAAATGATAGTCTCTTTGCATCATGGAAATTGAATTGGAAGAGAGCCAGCAGGATGTGGGCAAACTGATTAAAACACTGTTACAATGATCCAGGCAAGAGATTCTGGTAGCTTAGACCTAAGTGATGGGAGTAGAGATGGAGAGAAGTGGGTGGACTGATTCCATGGGTGTTTAGGAGGACTTCATAATGGCTTAGCTCTGGGGAGTAAGGGAGATGGCGCTGTCAAGGTGGTCTTTGGGATTCTGGTTTGCAGATGTGGTGAAGCTTGTGCCATTCCTGGAAATAGGGACCCTGTTTTCCAGAGCTCAGAGGGGTCTGACCAATGACCCTAAATGTGCAGGCTCTTGAGGCCTGGGTCTTTTGAATGGAGAAGGGGAAGTAGGGAGTGGGAGCTTGCTGAGACCAACCCACACTTTGTAGGTGGTTTCCTACTGACTGACCTTCTTGTCCTGGGACCATGGGGCTCTTAGGGCAGAAGTTTGGAAGGGTAGATAGAGTCCTTCATCCAGCACAGTCCTTGACACTGTGCTGTGTGCCAGCTGTGTGGCGACAGCCATGTGTGAGGACACGTTTGGGACCCCTTTGTGGAGTGGACGTGGACTTCCACCTTCCGTCCTTTTTCATAGGAGGTCTGGCACGAGCAGGGAGGAGGCTGCAGGCTGCAGGCTGGCTCCGGAGACACAGATTAGCCGCACGTGTCTGGATATTATCTGTTGATAATCGGCAATTGACTTGAACATCACTAACAGCAAACTAACCATAACTCCCTCAAATTGTTTGATTTATTATTTAGGAGATTTGTAAATTTCTTCAGTGTCTGTCTACCTCTTCCCTTTTTTTAATTTAAGAATTATTTTACTTAACTTTATTGATTGATTAATTGATTGATTGGTTGGTTGGTTGATTGGAGAGAGAGAGAAAGTGAGAAAGGAAGCCGCTGGTCCGGTACTCAAATCGTGGTCGGCCACGTGGGAGCGTCCTTAACCACCACGCCACCTGCCAGTCCCTCTGTCTCCCCGTTTCTCTCAGTTTTGGCCAGGTCAGGTCAGGTCGAAGGCACCTGTGAGGGTGAGGTAGTCGTCCAGAGAAGGAATCAGGTTAGAGCTCAGCACATCGGCCCCCGGGCTGCCTGCCTGCTTGCATGCTGGTCTGTGTGTCTGTCAGCCTGTCACTAGCTTATTTCCAACAAGGATTTAAGCTCGGGGCTTTCGTTACTATTGTGGCATGGTGTCCTTGTGACAGGTGAGAGGTGGGAACCAGTGTGGTTTACTGGGCTCCAAAAGAATTCTGAGCGTGGGCACCTGGAGCCCCCTTGTGGCTGAATCTGGTTTTCCATGTTTGCTCGGCTGCTTTTCCCAGTCCATTCGAGTAAGGGAAGTGGCAAAAAAATGGCAGTCTCTTACAAGCCTTTCCTTGGACTTTGTTCTGGTGGATTTTGTGATGGTTCCTAGCCCTTACTGTTCAGTGGCTGATCTTGGGTCCTCAAGAGCAAAAACCCAAACCCAAACCAAAAAAACAAGCCTTGTTCTGAGATATTGGGAGAGTGAACCCAGAAACAGTCTCTTTGTGTTTCCTGGTGAGTTCAGGTTCTTTGGGCTACTACTTACAGGTTGCCCACTGCAGAACACTCTCAAGTTATGAAAAACTGCTGACGAACACGAGGAAGAGGTATTTTTCTGTTTTTGAGGATAGAACGTCTTTGGTTTTTTGGTGTCCATTGGGTGGCACTGTGATCTTATTTTTGTTTGTTTTTCTTTGCAGCCAAGCTCTACTCCAGGAAGTGAAAATGTGGTGCCTCGAGAGCCGCTGGTAAGTACCCACGATTTTTTTTTTTCTTCCAATAACTAAAATACTGTGTGCATTCGGAGAAGCCTTATGATCCTTTTAAAAGTGTTATGTGGAGATCACCTCTTCAGTGACCTCTGACTTCTGACTTTTCTGGAAGGCAGGGATTAGCGAGGTCTCATCTTAGTAAGCCTGGTCCTTTCTGTAGACAAAAGCATCTATCCCGATGGTCAAGCACCACTCTGTTGCTGGTCAGTATTAGTCAGTGAGATGCCCGAAACCTTGGGAGCCTGAGTTGGCCTGAGGTTGCTGGGCCTAACTGGGTTGTTCCTTGATTGTCTGAAAGAGCCAATCCCTGTTCCTCAGCTTGATTGCACCTCCGGTGGCCTTTTAAAGAACAAGGAAGGAAGGAATTCCTGTTTTGGCGGACCAGCCATTAGGTTTGCTAGGTTTGTGTTAGTGTTACCAACGGTGAACTTCTCAGACTGGTGGTAGGGAAGAGGCCGAGGAGGTACTAACAGTGATTTTCTTTACAAAGTGCCTTTTCTTAGGCGATCCGTGCTATATGGTCCCTGCCTGCTTGCCTCATTCTCGTTCTGTTGGGTTGTTGGAAAAGTCATGAAGCGTTTTTGCATAGAAAAGGGCCGGCTGGTGGTGTGGTGATTAAGGACACTGGACTCCCACATGGTTGACTATGGTTCAAACCCCGGACCTGGTGGCTCACTTTCTCACTTTCTCTCTTTCGCTGACTAACAGTGATTTTCTTTACAAAGTGCCTTTTCTTAGGCGATCCGTGCTATGGTCCCTGCCTGCTTGCCTCATTCTCGTTCTGTTGGGTTGTTGGAAAAGTCATGAAGCGTTTTTGCATAGAAAAGGGCCGGCTGGTGGTGTGGTGATTAAGGACACTGGACTCCCACATGGTTGACTATGGTTCAAGCCCCGGACCTGGTGGCTCACTTTCTCACTTTCTCTCTTTCGCTGTGTCCCTCTTTGGTCAAATTAAATAAATAAATAAATAAAGTTGAATAAAATAATTCTTTAAAAAGAAAAAGAAAAAACGACGTCATGGCTTTCCCAATGACCCACTGTTTTGCACTTCAGGGCTTGCCGTAAATCTCGTTGGCTGGTTAGTAAGACTGGTTCTGTACCGACCAGAGAAGTCTCCCGGGAGAGCCAGCTTTAGGTTTACCTTTTCAGAGCTTTCCCTTTCTTTGAGCAGTGTACTGTCAAGGTTTTGTTTCGGCAGGGCCTGTGGTTTCACCTGGGTTTCTTCGCCCTCTTGGCAGTAGTGAGAGGAGATGACGTGAGTCCGTGACTGGTATGAACGAGTCTGAGTGCTAGCACGTGCTGAGGCTTTCCAAGGCAGAGGGTGAGTTGGGTCTGGCTGAGCTGTAGAAAGGCCGGGCCATCCAAGTGCTGCCAGGGCTGTTTCAGACGAGTAGTTTTGTCATTCGTGTCACCTGCTTTCACCAGCTCTGGACTCACCTCCCAGCACTCCCACCGTGGCCTGATCGTACTCTCTGGGCACTGCCTAGGTTCTTCCTTGAGGTCACGGTGCTGTGTAAAGCCAGGAGGAGGTTTGCTTTGCCAGTCTCTTAGGGCGTGTGCATTCTCCCCGTGGGGCCTGCCTCCGTCTGAGGTTACAGTTTGAACACGGAGAGTCCTTTCCAGTCCTTTACCTCTGCAGTCTCTTTTTGCGTTCTGTTCTTCTGACTTGACTGTTAATCGCCAGAAGGGTGACCAGTCCATCTTTTGGGGTATGACCGGTGAAACTCTGGGGACGCTGAGCAGCTGGCAAGCTCCCTGATTTCTGGGTGTGTGGGGCCCCGCAGACCCTTGGCTCTGCTCGTGTTCCTGTGCGCTGCTTTGTCCTGCTGTCCTGTGCATCTGCTTGTTGGTTGGCTGTATTTTTATTTCTTTCTTTTCTGGGAGGCCCTGAACAGTCTTCAAACCCTAGTGGCCTGCGATCGTCCAGAGTTCAGACTCATTCTCTCCAGGCCAACTCTACAATTACCTTATATTTAATTAATATTTTTTTCTCCTCTTTACGAACTTGCTGCATAATTGCTCAGAGGAAAGAAAACACATAGCAGCAATTTATATATATATAAAAAAACAATAATTAAAAAAAAACCCTGAAATAAACTCCCATCTCATTTGGGCTGATCCTATGAGTTGGGTAATTAGAGCCCTATTAAAAGGTAGACCCTTTCTCCTTCCCCTCCTTTTTTTTTTATTAATTTTTTTATATTAAACTCCCACAGTCTCTCAGTCATGCCCTTATTGCTTTTGGCCAGCCATTTGCAGCAGCCTGATTAAACGAGGGCACCAGCCGAGCTATATGGCCTTGTGTGAACTACTTCTTCCTCTTGGGAGTGGCAGTGGGGGTTATCAGGCAGGGGAGCCTGCTGAGGGCTTGCTCTTGGGGCAGGTCCGGGATGTGGGATGTGCTGGAGAGCTCGCCGTGCTGTGTCCTGGCAGCAGGCTGAAGGAGAGTCCCAGGTGCTGGAGAAGCAGCCCTCACCCACAGCCCCGTGCCGTGCGGCCGCGGTTGTGAAACACACAGCCTTCAGCCCCTTCCACAGAGTAGGGAGGGAGGTTTCTCAGGCTGCGTGGATTCCCTGTCTCCTGGGGCTTGGTTCAGCTCAGGCTTGAGGACTGGGGAACAGAACACTGAAGAATAAAACTAAGCCTTGTTCTCGAGTAATTCACATATTATATTTGGGAAGAAAAAGCATTTGTACACATGGAACAATTAGCAAACAGCACAAGGCTGTGTATAATTTTAGCAAACAGCACAATATTGTGTCTAATTTGGTGCAGAATTGCCTGGCGGGGAGAGAGCTTAGCTGTTAAAGAGCCCCTGGTTACTCAGAGAAGGAAGAGCTTTACGGAGGGCGGGTGGGTGGGACTTAGGGATGGATTTTGTGGAAG